GCTTGGATAGGGGCAAGAGCCACAAGGGGAGCAAGTGCACTTGATTTCATCATCGGAGAGAGAGTATTGGATTGAGATTGACACAAGGAGAAAGAAAAGAAGGGGCAACTGCCTCATGCTTATGTTTGCAATAGATTTGCTTCTTCTTCTTCTTCTTTCTTTGTTTTGCTAGGGTAGTGAACTTGCTCTTGATAAGTTAAAAAAAACTCAGTTGAGAGAGAGAGAGAGAGAGAGAGAGAGGAGAGAGGGGGTGAGAGAGAGAGGGAATCGTGAACTAACGGACCGCACTTTTTTTTGTAGTGGCCTTTGTTTGGGGGAGAGATTGAGAGTAACCTTGGGATCAGAAAGGAGAACTCTTGGATCAGTATAGTAGTTCTTTTGAAGTTTGAACTTTTAGATTATCAGTTGTCCAGTAAAAAAATGATATGTATAATATGTAGTCGATGATTGAAAAAACAAAAGAATTATCTGATTAGAGAATTCTTTGATTAGTACGATCATTCTTAAATCTTTGTGTTTTAGTCTGATTCGAGTTTAGGAGCCCCTAGATCATGAATCTTCTTTTAGTGAATTGAATAGTTTCTTTTGGGGCCAATGATCAAAATATGACCACTCGTCCCGGCTTGATTATGATCTTTTATAATTCTTTTCTCTCTCTTTTAATTATATATATATAGTCGTATTAGAATGGAGAAGGGGTGGTTGGTATTAATGATAGCGATGGAATCGACCTTTATTCAAGCTATCTTCATGATTACGTTTCCCATCAAATAATTAAATTGATGTGTAACTTTGTCATGTATATATGTATTTTTCTCAAGGAAAATAATTTTGTCACCTACGTAGAGCTATTGAGAGACATTAAATTGATAGAATCATGTATTATTTTGAGATATGTGGAAACTATGTCAGTATGTCTTTCAATGCAAAATTATTTTGAGCTATATGGAAACTATGTCAGTATGTCTTTCAATGTAAACTTCTTTTCAAACTAAAAATATTTATAGCTGACTTTTGGACATTTATAATTCACCATGGAATTAAGGAAAACCTTGAAATCCATCAAGAGACCTTTTTGAATATATGAAGAAATAACCTTTGAATATATGAATAAGTTCGAATTCACGAAGAAGTAATAAGAAAAAAAATTTATTGGAAAGCAATACGTCTACAGTTTCCAATCCTTTTTTTAAATAGAAAAACATAATATACTCTTAAGGACTGAAATTATTAGAAGTAGAAAGTATCAAAAACTATCCTAGAAGACTCCTTATGATTGACAAAACTAATCAGTCAAACTTGAGATCAAATTTGATTCATTTCTTAACCCAAACATATCCCTACTTTAGTACTAAAAGGAGCAAAATGTCCAATATCTCTCAATACGAAGGAGACTTCGTGAATCTAAGCCTTATACGCTGAACTTTGATGGGTTTGGTTGACTCTGTCTTGTAGAGTTAGATATTTTAATATGTTATACACCAAATTTTGTCCTACAGATTGGGAGATATGGTCATTTCCTCGTATGCAAGTCCAAGATCCTTTGTGGGCGGATTCGGATCCTCTCCACTACAAAAAAAATAGTGGAAGGACCACTACATAATCACAGCCATTGATTATCTAGTTGATAGTTATGATTTTTTCTTTTAGTGCAAATTAGGAATGAGTACAATACACGGGGGTATGGTAAGTGTTAGATTTAGATTGTATCATAACCGCCTACTAAATAATCAATGCTTGAGATTAAAAGTAGTGGTCTCTCCACTATTTTTTTGTAGTGGAGAGGATCCAAATCTCATACTAAGGTATTCGGATCCTCTCCACTATAAAAAAAATAGTGGATGGACCACTACATAATCACAGCCATTGATTATCTAGTTGATAGTTATGATTTTTTCTTTTAGTGCAAATTAGGAATGAGTACAATACACGGGGGTATGGTAAGTGTTAGATTTAGATTGTATCATAACCGCCTACTAAATAATCAATGCTTGAGATTAAAAGTAGTGGTCTCTCCACTATTTTTTTGTAGTGGAGAGGATCCAAATCCTTTGTGGGCATCCATTTGAGCTTCTGTTGGCCTAACTGCTCTATGAACTCCTGTGTGATGCGTTTATATCACTCTAATAGGCAACTAGTTTTCGGTAATCCAACCGTTCCATAAACTCATCTGAATAACTAACTAGTGTCTTATAATTAAGCCTACAGCTTCGGTGCTCCATAGAGATTAGTTGGAGTAATGATGGCATATCTGTAAATAAATTCCTTAAAAATAGCTCTCACAATTCTAGGTAGATAGATTTGACGGTTATGAGGTGTTCCACACCCAAAATTGTAATTAACTAGAGTTTCAATTAGGTAAAAAGGTTATTTTAGGAAATACAATTTACAGGAGAAACAGAATTTATCATTAGTTAGAATTCTTTAATTAACTATTAAAACCGATTTTTCTCCGCACTTTCCATTAGAAGAAACGGCTCCGCCTGCAAAAATTCTCGTGATGAGAAAGAGATGAAAGGTACCATCTTCTTTTTCCTTTTTAAAAAAATTAATTATATAGTATGATCCCTTAAATTTATCATTCTTCAAATCAGTAAGCATTCGTATGTAAACATTGACGTGAGAAATTTAAGGGAGCAGATTTTTTTCTTTCCAAATGAGGATACCATTGACATGTATATACTTCATTGACTGTATAGCCTTTCTAGTTTCTTATTTTCCCCTTTTAGAGGTGAAGATTTTCTGATTAGTCAGGAATGAGGAATGAGAAATTTAAGGGAGCAGATTTTTTTCTCTCCAGTTGAAGAAAACAACTTTATTGAATTGCAACTTATACATACCCGATTGCATTGTTTATCAAATTTGAATTCGTATGTAAACAACTATAAATTTGAAGTTGTTCTGAAGTCGCATATATTCAAATCAGTTAAAGAAATCTAAGTTGCAATTCAATAAAGTTGTTTACATATAATTGCAACTTATACACACCCGATTGCATTCGTATGTATAATTTGAATAAATTTGATTTCGTATGTAAACAACTTATCCAGTTGAAGAAATCTAAGCCAAAACTGCCTTTAAATTTCTCATTCTTCAAATCAGTTCTTATGTTTTCTTTTGCATTCGTATGTAAACATCCTTCAAATCAGTTCATGTGAACAAAATACTTATTTTTCTCTCCAGTGATTTTCTCTGATATGTCCATGTTGTGTAAGAATTGCAACTCAGTTTATATGCTTTGATGTCAAGCCAAGAGGTTTAAGACTCAGAAAATGGATGATGTGGATCATCAACGAAACTCGTTTCTGCCTTTAGATTAGATTGCAAATTCTGCACATTCCTTCTCTTGGTAGGATTTCTAAGAAGAGAAGGTTATAAATTCATCTCCACGTCTGCCTTACATTTACCATAGTGAGTAATTTTGCAGCAATACAAACGGCTAAGAAATCGAAATTCACTATAATATTGAATGAACTCCAACAATGGTTTATATAATATAATGAAAGGAAAAGTTTACAGAAAATATATCTACGCTATTCTGTCTTTATTTTTATTTGAAATTTGAAGTTCCAATTACCAAATGCTAATGAAAGAGACGTGTAAGGCAAATTCTCAGGTGCCTTCTGTGTCACCCTCACCACTGTCATGCCTTTCATTTCATAATATTAGTTTGAAATCTGTTAGGAATTACGATATTGGTTTCTCATGTAACTATCATGAATGAGGAGTAGACATGAACGAAAATGCTGCCTAATCGTCGTGTTTCTAGACAAGAAAAGCTTGCTGTAGAAGTCCATATTGACATGTTAAGCTTTGTTTCCTTCTGATATGTTTGGGATGTGGTAGAAGTAAAAGAAGAAATGAAAAGGAAGGTTTAAGTTTGTCCTTCTAGCCATTGAGTCACTCACTCACAATCAAAGCCTGAGTCTGTGGTATATTTTCTTGCTTTTTAAAATCAAAGGTGACTTTGGTGGAAAGTAAACCTATTAAAAAGGAAAGGATTTTCCATTTACTAACATATTCAACAAGTAAGAATCGAACTAGACAAAAACCTATTAAAAAGGAAAGGATTTTCCATTTACTAACATATTCAACAAGTAAGAATCGAACTAGACAAAATTTCCATTTACTAACATATTCAACAAGTAAGAATCGAACTAGACAAATTAAGTGGTAACTGATAAATTTTTTTCTCTCGTTATTATCATTTTCTGGTTTTATTGTAAAAGCTAGATGTAAACATCACCATATCAGTTAACATATAAAAGTTTGTCCTTCAAATCAGTTCTTATGTTTTCTTTTGCATTCGTATGAAACCTCTTTATTTCAGTCTTCCTTCTTTAAAGTTCATATTTTTCTTTCAGAACTATATAAAAAACTCCATGGGAAAATTGTGGCCAGTTTTATTTTTAAAGTTTGACCCATGACCTTCACCATACAAAAATAGGGGCTAAATATTAAAGTGGTTTATTTAGGAGTTATAATTTTATTTTTCTTGTACTTATTTTTTATATTTAATTGAAATGCAGAAAATGTCAGAGAAGAGTCTATTGGTATTTATTGCAATCCAACAAAAATGTTCAATATCGTAAGCGGCTTAACAGATGTACAAAAACAAGCGATAGTGGATATGGGTTTGGGAGGTATTTTATATATTCCTGATATAAGAATGCGTCGTTGCCTTTGTTATTGGTTAATGATTAAGGTAAATATAGAAACACGTACAATCAAAATAAGAGATTGTGAGGTGTCACTTTCAGAAAAGGATGTCGTTTACTTGATGGGATTACGTGCTGAAGGTGATATTGTTATGCTTTGCAATGAAAGTGTTGACCCAGACATTTTGAAATATTATGTTGAACCATTCACAAAGAAAATTACAATCAGACACCTTAAAAATTGTATTAGCTCATCTGATGGAGCAGACGATCATTTTAAGAGATCTTTTGTGCTTCTATTACTGGGACTTGTGCTAACTCCTATAAATGATAAGGACTATATACCCCAATATTATCTAAACATTCTGGTTGATGTCAAAAAAATCTCTTCATACAACTGGGCTAGATTCACTCTTGACTTTTTATTTTCAAGCATTACAAGTCAGAGGAAAAAGATGTTTTGTTGGATTTGTATTAGGTGATCTGCTGCTAGTGATTTGAACATAAAATGCCTAGCTTTGTAAAGGTTCACATGTTTGCTTTTTGCCTGCGCTTTGTCTGCTGATTATTGTCTTTATGACATCCAATTGTTACTATGTGTTTAATATAATTTGAATTGTTGAAAAGGCGTTGAGTTATATTAATGAACTCTCTATGACATGAACTATATTCTTCTTAATATCATCAGAGCATCTATTTAATCTCATTTCCACTACAACAAATGCTACATGAATATTAAAACATGTCTTTCAACAGAAATAAGACAACGAAAAATATTAATCCCAATATATTTTCCCCTCAAAATATAGATATCATTAGAAGAAAGAAATTACATGGTTTCGCCTTTCTTATTGACAGCGGTCAATTTCTAAAGTGAGGCATCCCTCACTCATACAAAAGGGACTAAGAAACAAAAATACTATTACAAAAGACTTGTGAATCTCATGAAATTCCGCCACTACAAGAGTATCCTGGGAACAAATCTCCTTGGGAGGAGTTTCAGGAACCCCAACAGCATGCTCACTTCTCAACATATCAGCTGGGTCAGTCAAAACAAACTTTGTGCAAACATCAAGAGTAGGCCAACGCCATACAACTCCCCTGCTACAGTGATCCCCTGCTACAGTGATTTTTGTTATGCTAAACCGCCATCGCTACCAAGAGAAACCAATATATGCTACAGTAATTTCCAAAAATCACCACAGCCATTTCCAACAAACTAATTTCCAGCTGCAAAACCATGTCCAACAAGACCATGACCAGCAAAACAGGCTCCCAGAAAACATGTCCCAAGTCCAGGACATTGAAAACAAATCCAAGAAAACACAAGGAGCAGCTGGAAACTCCTTTTTCCAAGAGAAGAAAACCGAAAGCCATATGCCAGGAAATAGCAAATTATACATACCCGATTGCATATATGCGACTTCAGAACCAACCAATTCATATTGAATTACATAATATGCAAGTCTCCAGGAAGATGAACATCACCCATCCCCCAATCTCCACCAAAAGGAACTTGATAACAAATCGTCCAACCACTACCATAGCGGGAGAGAAGGCCACCAGCCAGTTGAAAAGCATGTGATTGTAATCTTTGATGAAAAGAGTCCGTGACTTTCCAAGCATCTGAGAATAAGAAGAATTCACATTCAGATACAATTTTTGTACCTATTTAAACAGAACCAGTTTAATGCACTAAAGCATAATGCATGTCGAAGTCCTACAAACTTGCATCCTATGTTGATGCCGGTTTCTTTCCTGAACGCTGCCGAAACAATATGAAGCAAGCAATAAAGCATACAACTAAAAGGAAGAATAGAATCAGAAGAAAGAAGAATAAGAAGCTCCAAATACCTGTATTCAAGAATCTTATCACCCTCAACCACAACAACAAAGTGCTTATTGTAACGGACCAATGCCAATGGTGACTACGCAAGCACACAAGGTGAGGAGCCAACCACCAGACCTGGTATTACTCAAAATATATATTAGGATACTATTCCGCTGCAAAATTACGCACAAAACCCATAATAAATCCATAGTTACCATGAATACCAAATATTTGCACTGCTACCTCTCCATGATTAAACACACAGCTCTTTAATTTCAAAAAAAAAAAAAGACATAAAGCACGACTAGAAAATTAATGGCATTGATACACGCAATTTTACAATGCTAGTTAACTAGCTCCAAACACAGACCATGACAATCAACTGAGTCTTATTCATTCATAGGTGCAAGTGCACGCAACGGTCCAGAATGCAAAGCAAAGCAAATCCAAGAAGCAAAGCAAAGCACCAAGGAATAATATCTGTGCCTCTGACTCTAATGGTCTCCGTTCATGTCTATTTGATTATAAGCAACACATAATTGAAAAAAAATGAAAAGAGAAGTAATAGAAAATTTATACGGATGCCTTACAAAAGGGAAAGGAAAGGTCAATGTTTCTGCAACTCCATCATCAATACCATCTTCATACTCCTAATTAAAAACTATTCCCCTCAAACAGAGTGTAGTCTAGCTAGCATTATTCCAAACACAAAAAACAGAGTGCAGAAATTGTCCAGGTACAGGAGATGAAATAACCATTCGACTTAGTACTTTAGCTGACAGCATCATCTACAAGCAATTCGTACATCAAGAACAATCCTCTCTTCCAAATCTCTTAGGGCCACCTCATTAGCCTTTTCTCTCCAGTTATCTCTTAATCTTCCCATTTCGCTCTGTTAATTCACAAATACCAATCTTGTTTCACTGCCTTCCACATTCACAAATACCAATCTTGTAATCTTTCTTGAAAAGAGTCCGACTTTCCAAGCATCTGGGAATAAGAAACATTCACATTCAGATTCAGATACAATAATAAGACATAAGATAAACCATAAGTATGTATAATAATATTACATACCTAGAATGTGCAAAGTTTTCAAGATAAAGTTGTTTCCAATCAATGCAGGTTGTTGTCTTCTTGTGACCATATTATATCAGATGGGAAATATCGCCTGTAATTGACAAAACTTAATTATTTTTTACATTTTAGATAAGAGAATATGCACAAAAATGTAATGATCATAATCTAATTAGAATTACCCAGTGTCGTTATTCACATCTTGTTTGTCAACGTTGTTTACTGAAATACTTGGACAGCTCCGAATATTATGACCTTGTTGGTTGCACATGCCACAGCGGTTAGTTCGCTTTTCACTGTATGCCTTTAATCTTTTTCTAGGTGCACCCTTCGTCTTTGCTCGGATGGGATCTAGCACGATTGTTGTATCTCCATCCTCATCTACATTTATCTCACATGTTCCATCATCTGAGTTATAATCATTACATGCTTCATATTTTTTTTCCTTCAGTTTAAATGATACTAATTTGCTATTAAGAAAATTCATAAGCTCAGAAAATTGATCTTCGGACTTAGCTGCCTTATAACACACTTGTTTTGCTAGTTTCAACAATTTTTGGTTTCTAATTGCATGATCTGAGACTTCATTCACTGTGCCATGTCTATCAGAAGCAAATCCAGCTTTAACATTTTTAGTCCACCGTGGCCAAATACAACACTCCGGAAATGATGTAATATTTAGATATTTCATTAAACAAAACATATGACTGCACGGTGTTCCTTTTGTTTCTAGTTGCAAGCATTCACATGCTAACTTGACTAACTTAGCACTTTCCCATTTACAACAAACTATTGTGCGCACCTCTGGATTTGAGTCAATTGCGATAACAAAGTTGTGATGTCCGTCTACAATGTTGTGCCCTACGATACAATAATTTTCTCCTTTTTGCATGTCAATTTGAATTAGATCAAAAATAGCAGGTGTATAAACATCAGCAACATATAACTCTAATTTTCTTGTACAAGTTCTCGGATATGGAGTAAATTGGGAGGCTTTAGAGTCATCTGCAGCCTCGTTTCGGCGAGCACCTGATACACATCTATCATAGTGATGAATCATATCAACAAGAGTCATGCCATAGTTGAGATATTTGTGCAGAATAGAATTTATACTTTCACTGCGTTGTGTGCTTCTAAGACCTAAAAAAGTATGCCCATGTAAGTAGGTAGCAGCCCATAAATATTTTTTTTCATACATTCTTAGTAGCCATTTTTTCTCTTTATTACCCATCTTATTAGCAAGAAGCTCTTTCCATTTATTTTCAAACACTTCAGCTGTATATTTTCTTGAAATAAGGTCTTGAAAGACAGCTCTAACCGAACGATTTCTTATATTGTCATATAAGTTTTTTCCTATATGCCAAGAACACAACTGATGCTTTACGTCTGGAAACTCTGTGATTATAGCTTCACGCATGGCACTATCACCGTCGGTAATGACAGACAAAGGTTCTTTTTGACACATCGCCATCTTAAATACCTTCAACAACCAAATATAGCTCGCAGTTGTCTCATTACAAACTACTCCACATCCAAATATTATTGTTCTCCGGTGATGGTTTAAACCAATAAATGGTATGAAAGGCATGGCATATTTGTTTGTTCGATAAGTACTGTCAAATAATAAAACATCACCAAAAGCTTCATAGTCAACTCTTGATTGAGAATCAGCCCAAAACAAATGTGTAAGATGGCCTTCATCATCAGTTTTATTCAAATAGAAAAAATCTACATCTTTCCTTTTTCTTTGTTCCATCATATTCAATACAGTTTGTGCATCTCCCTGTTCTATTATTCTTCGTGATATTTTATCCCACTTATTATAAATATCTTTTCTAATAAAACCAACCTTCTCATAACCTCCGTCTCTATACTCCATAAAATCCATAATTTTATTTTTAGGAATGCCACATTGTGCTAGCATATGAATTTCTTCCATTTGTACATCATCAACTCTTCGTTGAGAGCGAAGAAAGGGAACTTCATCTTGGCCTGCAAGCTCATGATTATGCATATCCCTTAAACTATAAACAAACCATCTCCGTGTTTCATTATCAAAAAAAATCTCAAGACATGCATCACAATTGCATCGGGATAATGACCGTTCTTTATATGTTCTATTTGCTCTATCCATATGCTTAGTTTCACGAATTCCTTCTTTAAAACAAACAAATTTGCGATAGTAAAGATTACCATTTTTATCATATCTCACTTTATCCCTTCGAATACTAAAACCCTTCAAATTGGCATATGAATTATAAAACTCATACCATTCATTTTCAGTGGTATAGGAATTCAGAATTATGTCCTCGTATTCCATTAAGGATGGGCCTCAGGATTCATCTGAAATGCATATTATTTAATAAGAAATTAGTAAAAAATTTAGTAATGCAGCAAAATATTAGCCCTATTAAATATTGTTCACTGATAGAAAACAATGTTCTAAAAACAAGGTTCTGAAATCATCTTCTATTTATTAACATATATAAATAAATAAATTTCTAATCAACCAAAATTTAACAAAAAATTTCATGCTAAATAACATTAACCAGTTTTTATCAACAACAATTAGTATACTCTGCAGGCGTACCTGCGAAGAATCAGGGCCGAGAACAGAATCGAACACATATGATCTTCTGCTGTCCAGGGACAAGGTATCGGCGGACAGATTGTGAACTATCCGAACCCCTTCCCTTTCACGGACCGATTGACGGCCTTATTTCACAGAACGACCCTGGGGGGGGTTGGGGGGGGGGGGGGGGGAGAGTGTTTAGAGAGAAATATTATTAAGACGGGAAAAAGGGAAGTACCTTGACGGGAGAATGAGAAGGGGCAAGCTGGGATGCAGAGTTGGGTCGTTTTCTTGGCCTGATCTCCTTGCTCTTCTTCTTCTACTGCTACTAGATTTGGGACAGAGGGGCGAGGTTGATCGGTAACTCGGCTTCTTCCTTCTCTCTCTGATTTCTTTTCTTTTTTTTTTTCTTTTTGAGGCGGAACAAAGGCGGTGATCCAGTTGCCAAATTTTTTTATTTCGTTGCGTTTAGCGGTTTGGGATAGAAAGCAGGTAGAAAATAAATTTGAAAGACTAAAATATCCTTTTGTTATGTTATCTTATTTGTTATTTTTGTTAATTTAAAATTTTAAAAAAAACTTATTTACGGAGCACCGAAGCAAACCTCAATAATTAATCATGGAATCTCAACAATCTTCAACTTGAGATGGTGAAATGAAGTTCAGTGAGATCTTTGTTATAGATTCATGTTAGAGATGTGATATATGCTACTAATGTTTACATCAATGCTTGACCTTTAGATGACTAATTTTATTCTTTTTTCCCTTTCAAATTTCTTTAGTCGGGTAAGGATATTTTGCCACCCTTTCACCTTTTTCCTTTTCCCATCTCTGTTGAACATCGTGTATCTTCTCAAATACATTACTTAAAGTCAAAAAGATACTGACACTAGAAACATCCAATTAAGACAAAATTTAACAAATAAAACATAGCTTTCTGATAAAAGGTTATCGAGAAAAGGGCGTAAAAATATCATCAAAGTTTATCTGAGTATGACCATATCCAAGGGTGATAAAAGCTTTAATCATTTGTGTAATTAGCTATATTCAAATATGCTTATATATAAGATTATTTTTATCTCAAAATTTAGGTAATAGAAAGGGTAGAGTGATCAGTTAATTAATCAATAAAAAAACAAAATTTAGAAGTTTTACATTAAAGTTAATTACATACAAATTGAGCAAGATCATAAAAAATTGGGATAATTCAATGGATTTAAACCACCGTAAATCATGCCAAACTTCTTACAGAGTTTCTTTACCTAATACAAAAGAAATTAAAATACTATTATCTACAAGATTTTTAGTTAGTATATTTAATTTACTAATATTTTTAATGAAAAATTAAAGGAGCGTGAACAGCTGGTGTGACGTGCTGATTCTAGAATAAAGCCACAGTGATCGAGAGGGAAAGCTATAATGTCGTAAACGAAGAGGGGACCAACTTGCTCACTGATATTTTTTTTTTTCAATGGAAGAATAAACAAGGAGATGACTTTATAAGAGCCTAAAGAGCTAAATAATAAAGAGGCGAAATGTAGTTTAGTGCGCAAATATTAGATTACATTGTTGAAGATTCTTCTGATGTCTATTTGTTAATATATCATAAACCTTATAGCATATATGCATGTGAAACAACCTCCCCAATCAAAGGAAGTTATGGAGGGTACTGTTATCATGTCTTTGTTGGTGTATTTGGAGCAGTCGAAACAACATCATATTCAACAATTCTCCTGTTACTCCTCTGTCTATAGCCTCTAATGCTGCTCGTTTCATATTATTCTGGACAGGTGCTTCAAGCAGCAGAAAATCTCAGCGTCTTCATAGGGCTGTTGTCGAATTGGGTATGCAGGACATAGCTAAAGCTAATGGAAGTGAAGCTCTCGGGGAAAATTTTGCTCAAGGAGATTAGCTTCTGGTTGTTTCCTCCTCTTCCAGCTTCGGTCTCTTAGTTCCAAGACTCTATGGGCATATTTACAGTTGTTTTGTACTTTTCTAAAAACTTTTCAAGATTCACTGCTTTTTGTTTATAGTGTAGTAGCAGGTTTGCTTGGAGATGGCTGCTTTATGATGGTTTCTATTGGCAACCTCTTTTTGTAGCTTTTATGAATTTTTTGTGATCTATGGTAGGTTAGGAAGCTCTGCAGCTATTTTCTGGAGGGTGATGACTAGGGTCCGCTCCCATCCGATAACATCTTCTTCGGATCCTATCCTCACCTTCTTGTTGCTTAGTCAGTTATTTGTTTTGTAAATTCTAGGCTCTTTTTCTATATATATATTTGAACAGGATATCTCACCCTGTTTCTCTGCTTCAAAAAAAATATATGCATGTGAAACAGGAATGGTAAAACAATGGTAAAACTATCAAGTCACCAGTATTAGAATATGAAATTATTATCCTCAAATTCAATAGGGACTTTCAAACCATATGACATCAATTTTCAAGAAGAACAAGAGAGGAAAAGTAGGATGGAGACCCTCCACCAGCCTCCTCACAAAAGGATGGGATTTTGGACGAAGCTGGACGAAGAGGGGAATAAAACACATGCATGGGTTGGTTAGGGAGGGAAAGGCAGCGAGATGCCCACCACTTCTGATCAGAGTCACCGGAGCCTGCATGCAGGTCCACACACGCAGCAGCTTTTGGAGGCTTATATATAGACGACCCTCCTGACTATTTTAATTTTACGAAATCCGCCTCTTGAAGTTTTTTTTCCCGTTCGACGACCTCCCAAAGCAACACACGTGTCGACGTGACGGGAGAAAAAAAAAATGAATTCACCAGTCAATCCTCAAAAAAACACCCTTTATTCTACTTACGCTTAACAGACTCATAAAGTTAGTTGTTTTTCATTTGGCAAATAGACTCTTGAGGGCAAAATTAAGAGACTAGGTGGGTCTATTTGCCACATTAGAGTTAGGAAGGGGCCTGTCTGCAATTGGGCGCAATTAACCCTAGAATAATTCTAATAAATAAGCAATTGTATCGAATAAAATTTCAATAAATATTTGCGACATCATTTACGGAAGGAAACCAAGAATTATTCAATTTCAGCTCTAACTGATCACGACGTGCATACGTTTCCTTCTCCAATCTCCATGTTAGATTTAATAAGTATATCAATATCTATGACCATTTTTCAACATTAGTCAGCGCACTTGAGATTTATAACTCTTAATAATCTAAAAAAAATGAAGTGTTTTGATGTAAAAGTATCGGGTTACTATAATTCCAGAGTATATATTAGTCATTTCAGACTGAACTCTTAGGATGAAAATGCAATAATCCAATAATTAACAGAAAACTTTAAACGATTTTAAAAGTTTTAATTATGACAGATGCAGGATATGAGCTTACATTGACTTGCTTGTAAAAGCAAATTATCTAAATCTCTTGCCATTTCACATGTAAGTTTAATCCTTTGGCTCGGAGACAAATCTTAAACTGATCTATTTATATTTATGGCTATGAGAACTAGAAAAAGAAAACATGATTGAATCATTATGGTCAATAACCCAAATTACTTTATGTTCCATTTCCTTAACGCGTAAGAACAGTGTCACATTGAGAAAATTAGAAAAAGAGTAACAAAGTTGGAATCCAGTATCCAATAGTTTAAACTTTTAAATTGATTTAAATCTAAATATTTATTTAAGGCCCATGATCTGGTAGAGGGCCTATACAATGTAGATGATTATCGACGGGCCTTCTCAGCTTTTAGCCTTTTAGTAGCATGATGAGTTCTGTAAACTCACTGTATAAAAATGAAATAATATTGTAGCAAATTAATATAAAGTTTGTCACCTTTTTCTTTTTTCTCATCCAAAGTTGGGGGAAACTTCTCTGATCATGTTGAAGTCAAACTATGTTTCGATTGTAAAAAAAGTAATACTTGTTTAACTACTTAAGCATCATACCCAATTGATTGTCATAAAACCGATATCATCATAAAACAAAGAAATATGTAAAATATCCACCTACTTATACCCTACAAGGAGATATATATTGAGTGAGATTTCTTATCATTAAGAGAGAATATAAGGTGTCTTGAAATGAAAGCCCAAAAGAATATATTCAAAGTGGTATTGTCCCGTTCATATTTCTGTCCTTAGACTTGGAGCACCATGCACACTTTTTCATTAATTAATATATTTTTCTAGAAATGTTGATCCATAGGAATCGATCTTTATTTGATTCTCCATTACAATTGCCTCATAACTTTGTTTATAAGCCTAGAAATAGCGCAATATGACTTGTGAGCAAATACTAAGGATGTGAGTATTGTGAGTGGAGAAAGAGATTGAAGAGTAGAGATCTAGAGAGAGAGAGAGAGAGAGAGAGAGAGAGAGAGAGAGAGAGAGAGAGAGATCTAGAGAGAGAGAGAGAATGGGTTGCTATCCTCTCAAGGAGTTGATGGCTAGAGCACTAGGGAAGTGTAATGGTAAGCGATTAATAATTTCTCTTGTTCATCTTTGTTATGCATGTCTATTTCTTACATCTCTACGTGAAGTTTATTAGGGCTAGATTGCTTGATTTAAATCAAGTAAGTAGCTTTTCACTATATATAAGAGTTTAGGGATACTATAACTTTGTTTATAAAATATTTGGCTAATCTAATTTTATTTTCAACCCAATATTTCTAGTAAGTATTATATAAGCTTACAACACGAAATAAATGATTTGTCGAACCTAACAAGTATGTTTTTCGTGTATGGAGATTGGGGGCTAATATGCGAACTTATCTCCGATAGAGGAATTAAGTAGGACTTATTAAGTTATTAATTCTTAAATTAAAAAAAAATGAATACTTTGTAAGTGATTCATTAAATTTCCATCACTCAATAAACACTAAAATTAATGATTGCATTTATACAAAGAAATTCAGTAGACATACTCTCACTATATGATCTACGTGGAAATAAAATAAAAATAGAGATGAATAATGTGTGAACAAATTAAACTGCAAAATTCTCTTGAATCTTTATGATAAGTTGAGCATCCTATATCTCTAGATATAGTGTTCATCTACTCCTAACTCATTATTCTCAAACTATATAAGTTAATTTGTCATTGATTAATTAGTAACAAGTTTCCAACTGTACCCATTACAATTTCTTTTATTCATTTTTTTTTGTGATTTTAGGCAAGGGGAAAAGAAGAGCAACAAATAGAATGATGTACTCACCCCCATCACCCGTGTACTCGCAGAAAAGAGCAACAGTGGTAAAATCCGTAAATTTCGGCAACCAAAACCCTATTTACGTAATCCCCCCTCAAACCGAACCGGTTCGGAGCCATTGTCCCTCAGTTCATACCCACTACTCCGCTCCACCAGTTCAAAGTCACCATCCCGGTCCAGCAGTCCAAAACCACTATTCCGATCATCCGCCGGTTCAATCCCGTAATCCTGAACCAACAACACCCCATGTACCTAATGGTCCAAGCCCTTCACAGGAAAACCAAGGCACTAAACCAAAAAGAAAAGGAAAGAAAAAAACCAGGTTCGCTCCTGAACCCGATATCCAAAAGAACAACCTCCACACTAATCCGGTCCAACATGAATCGATCCCAAACTGTCATGGTCCGATCCATCAAGAACCATGTGGTTTGGGTCCGAGGCTCCGTCACCGTTACCAAGATGGGAGCACGGAACAAGGCGTCATGAATATTTTAGTGGGGAGTATTGTTACTATCCAACCCCCATTCGCGAAGGTATCTACAGCATTGCCACCGATCCGCATCGACTTACCACTATATTCAGTGAGGAGAACCCCAACGCTTGTACTATTTCTTGAGGTTGATATAATATTTGCTTTGGTATTTTTTCCGGATTTCTATAGGTTGGAATCGGATACTTTTAGTCATGATAGGAGATCTCGCAATGTTAGCGTGTTTGGCTTTTGTGTCCAGGGATATTTGCTCGTTTGTAAAAATCTGGCTTTAGGAATTTTACATTCGTAACTTGAAGGAAATAAAGCTCTATTTTTTTTAGTGGTCACTGGAGATCCATGCCTCGATTTGCCATCTCAGTTTTAATTATTGGTAATTGTTTTTTTTCTGAAACTTGATTATTAAGAAATAGAGATATGTCAAAATGAGAGGAATTGGAGCTATTAGCTATATAATCAATTAAAAGAGTTGATCTGTTTTTTTTTTGGCAAATACAGTAGCAAGATAGTTGTATAGTGCCATAATGGATATGCTTTTCGGGGGTAAAAGCGACATTTCCCAAAGTTTTGGTGATTATCTCAAAGCAGGCCACCCTATCTGGGTTTAAAAGCGAACCGCCCCGGCCCACTTGCAGCTCACAAATACTGGATTCTTCTTTGCTTCGAAGCCTCCCCATCTCCTCACAATCACCAAACCAACCAACATTTCCACCAAAATGCCATGGCCCTCAAAACAAACCATAATTCCTAAATTACCAAACATGTTATATCTACTCCATCATCATCGATCCAACGGTCCCAATTAAAAGATCACATCCTAACTTTTGGGCCTCCAATGGGCCCATCATCCACTTTCTAACCCCCCAAGTTATGAGTCCGTGATGAGTGTGTAATCGTTAAGAAGTCTTTGGTGGTTTTATTCTAAATGGCTTTCAACTTTGGTTTGCAGGGTGCTTCTTTCTTGACTTGGAAGGAAGACTTTGACCGGCTACTCCAAACCCTAGCCGGTTAGCAATTCTCTAGACTAGAGGCTTGATGGCAAAAGCTATCTTTAAGATTTTCTTTTAAAAAACCCAGACAACAAGGTAACATATAGTACATTTAAACTTGATAGTTATGCTGATATAATATTCTTTTATATACTTCCTTTGCTATTATTTACTAATGCCTGAACTTGATGATCAAATGAAATTTTTTTTTTAATTTTTTAAAATTTTTTTAATTTTAATTTTAATTTATTTCTATTTTTTGAGCTGGGGTATTTGGCTAATATATGGGAGTGAGGACGAGTGGGTTAGGTGATTTTCGGTGAATTTGAGAGCGACTAGGTGTAATTTAGTTTTTGGGTGGACTGAGTCAATGCCACCGAGGACCCGAACCGAGTCAAGCATGACTAAATAATACAGACAATGCCCTTCTTAATTATCAAATCTATGATATTGCCCTTGCTGATTTTGTAAACTATATGGTGACGGTAACGGTTCCTCAAAACTTAATGTAAGAAGCATTAGCACCTCATCCAATGATGATATCAAAAATCTTTAACTGTTTTTAAAATTTTAATGTACAGCCACATAAGTTGAAACAGTCATTAAATCAAACATAAACTAGTGAAAGTGAAACATATATATTTTTAGCAGTACAATTTAGAACTTAAACCAAACACAAATTATTACTCATGCTTATGTTATGTTAGGGAATTATCTCTAAATTACGTAACGCCAATCACATCAAATCTAAATTACGGAATTTAGAGCCAAAACCTCTTGCTATATGAATTCCGTGACTTTATCAACTATAAACCACAATGTCAGTTCCGTAATTTAGAGTCGACGTCCTGCTACGTCCTCAAAATACCCTCCAACTTCTTCCACTTAAATCTCCCTCTTCGGTAGCAAGCAACGCAACCTAGCTAGGCACAACAAATCCTCCACAACAACAAACAAACAAATTAACAAGCCCCCAACACAATCTAGCTTACTGCTCTCTCTCTCTCTCTCTCTCTCTCTCTACATGGCAAGACATCTTCAATCTCACCACCACCTCCCCTCTCTCCTCTCCTCCGCCTCGCCACCTCTCCTCCTCCTCCTCCTCCTCGTTGCCGCCATCGCCTCCATAATCCTCTCCCTATGCACCACCAAGAAACACACAAATATCTCCAAGTTAAGGAGCAAGCTCCCCTCTCCTCCACCACCATCTTCAACCTCCGATCGCAAGCTCGTCGGCAAGCTTAGTGGCATGGGGAGCAAGGCCATGGTGGTCGCCAAGATGGTCTCTTGGACGAGGGGAGGTGACCGCGAGGAGGAGGAGGAGGCGGCGGTGTGGAGGAAGTCGATACTGATGGGGGAGAAGTGCCGGCCGTTGAATTTTTCCGGGAAGATAGTGTATGATGAGGAGGGGAACGAGGTGAAGGAGGCGCAGGAGAGGGTGGCTGGTGGAGGGAAGTAGCCCTAGGCGACTCCAGTATTGAAAAGGCTTGATGATGATGTGTGTGTCTGTGTTTTTTCTTTAATTATAATTTCCTCCTTTTGTTTGTTGTAGTTTTTGCGTTTGATTTTTAACTTTGAGTAGAGACCTAATTACGAAGTTTTGGGGCAATTTTTCCATAAAAGAGAAAGTACCGTTGTTATATAAAGGGATTCTCTCATATAAAATGGCATGGTTGATGTGAACACGTGAAATGCTAGTGGGGGCCACAAAACACAAACATCGTGAAATGATCACATTGCTGCGTGAGGAAAGCCACGTGAAGAGATGTTGACGCGTGAAAAGGAGATTTCATGAAATCGGGTCGGGTTAGTTGTATGTTTGGCCTGGTTCTTTCGAAGGTTGCAGGTATTTATATCTTGGCTTCGTAACCTAGGTAGGCGTGCGAAGGAGGGGAGTTTAGTCGGCTTTTTTCTTTTCCTTTGGCGGCTGCGCAGGTGCAATTGAGGCGGCTGCAGTGCTAAGGCAAAGGGGAGAGAGAGAAAAAGGCGGCTGTGGATTTTTTCTTGGGCTTCGTGCAGAGGAGAAAAATCCTATTTGGTGGCTGTTTTGTGAGAGATTAGAGAGTTAGTTTGAGGATTTAGTTTGAGAGCTTTTGAGAGAGATAATTGTGTGAGGGTTTAGATTGAGTGTTTGTAAACCCTAGTTGTATTATCTCCCCTCTATTAGAGTAGATCCCCCTCCTTGCCCCGTGGACGTAGGCAGTTTGCCGAACCACGTAAAAATTGATTGTTTGAGTTTATGGCCATTGTAATAGTTATTAGGATCCCGCGACGCGCAGTCCTAGAGCTGACGAGAGGAAGAGCTAATATCCCACTTTGATGAGATATTAGGCTTCAGATTCTTGTTCCCTTTGAGAAACAAGAATTCTTATCGATCTTTCTCTCTTATTGTGCACCAGAAACTCTGCCGAAATTTCCGCTGCGCACAACAAGTGGTATCAGAGCTCGGGCTACGCTTGGGCTATTTGGAGGAGTAGATCAATTTGGAGGCTCGTCCAGGGCTTCGTTTGGTGATAAAGGTGGGATCTTTTGGTAAAGACTTTATCTTTTCAGTTTTGGGTCTATTCTTTGTTCGTTGGTGCGTAAGATGTCGGGGAAAGAAGGTGCTTCGGGTGTCGAGGGTGGTGCTTCTGGCGCGAAGACTATTCAGAGTTTGAATATCTACTCTATGAAGATAGATGTGGAGAAGTTTAATGGCACAAACAATTTTGGATTATGGAGATGCGAGGTTTTGGATGCGCTGAACGCGCAGAATTTGGAGGATACCTTGGAGTTAGATGGCAAGCCAGATAACATTGAAGAGAAGGTTTGGAAGAAGATGAATCGAACGGCGTGTGGTGTGATTAGGTCTTGTTTGACTCAAGATCTAAAATATGATGTGATGAATGAGACTTCTGCGAAGAAGATTTGGGAGATTCTCGAAAGCAAGTATTTGACCAAGAGTGTGGAAAATCGCTTGCATTTGAAGAGGAGACTTTATCGTTTCCAGTTGAAGAAGGGAACCTCCATTAGAGATCACATGAACCACTACACAAAGCTTCTTGCGGATTTGGCGAATGTGGATGTCAAGATTGAAGATGAGGACAAGGCGTTGCTGTTGTTGAGTTACTTGCCCGACGATGAATATAAGGCCTTCGTTCTTACTCTGATTAATGGGAAGGCATCACTTTCGTATAGTGAGGTCACTGCTGCACTTGTGAATTATCAACTTCGAAAGAAGGATAAGGAGGCTTCAGTTGAGCCGGTAGCAGAGGCGTTGGCCGCAAGAGGGAAGGGTCCAAACCGAAAGAATTGGAAGTCACAGTCTAGAGTAGGAAAAGATCAGTGTGCTTGGTGCAAGGAGACTGGTCATTGGAAGAAAGGTTGCCCAAAGATCGACGAATGGATGAAGAATAAGCAGAAGGGAAAAGGGAAGCAACCATCATCAGAAGCAAACATCGTATCGGATGGTAATAATTCTGACTCTTCTATTTATTCGCTTGCTATCAGTCCTACAGATAGCTATTCGGATGAATCTGAATGGATGTTAGATAGTAGTGCGACCTATCATGTGTGCCCTAGAAGGGAATGGTTCTCCAGTTTTGAGAAGCTGGTGGATAGTGGTGTGGTATACATGGCTGATAATCGTGCATGCCAGATCCTTGGGATAGGAAGAATTCGCATAAAAATGTTTGACGGGATTGTTAGGGAGTCAAATGATGTGAGATATATTTCTTCTTTGAGGAAGAACTTGATCTCAATTGGAGCTTTGGTTGGAGAGAGTCTGAATGTTCAAATTGAGGACACGGTTCTCAAGATTGTGGAAGACTCTCGGATTGTGATGAAGGGCGTCAGGAGAAATAACATGTATTACTTGACTGGAGGTATAGTGGCAGGTGGAGAGCTGACGACTTCTGTTGATTCGACTAGACTGCGGTATTTGGGGCTTGGCCATTCCAGTATTGATTCCTCGCATAGATTGAAAGAGGGTGCGAAGACCTGCAGTTTGAAGTCCAGTGATCATGTTGATGTGAGCAAGAAGACCGAGGTGAAATGTGGCACATCTATTCACCGTGCTAAGGGTCGTTCTGGAGGAGTTCACGTGGATGTTTGGGGGCCTTCCAAGGAGGCATCATTGGGAGGTAATAGGCGTTTGGTTTCCTTTGTTGGTGGCTGTTCTAGGCGTGTTTGGGTTGCAACCAAATCCCCTTTGGAGAAAGTCCTAGTAGTATCCAACAGATTGAAGAAGTGTGTAATAGACAGAAAGGTGAAGGTACTCCATTCTGGTGGGAGGTACAAGATGGACCTATTTCTGTATTAGAGCCGAGCTCACGGCATTTCGAGAAACTTCGTTGGAAAGGAAATCTTGGGGCAACTAAATAGGGTGACAAATTTGGAGAACAGTGCCTTACTGGAGGAGGATCGGTGTTTTTGGTCGAGCAATGGTTTGCAGAAGAGTTTCTGGACAGAGGCTTCGATATATTTGGGTCATCCTATTAAAGAGTTGTCAACTGCTGTGATTAGAGGTAAAAATCCATTGGAAGATAGGTCCGGTAGTGTCACTTTGGTTGAGGCTTCGATGAGAAAGCCAATTGACTCTCAGCAGGTGGAGAGTTTTGGACAAACCTTAGAGGTATCGCAGCGGGTGGAGAGTGATGCTACTCCACATTAGGTGAAGATTACTCCAGATCATACTGCATCATTTGGGATTGTTTGTGGAAAATTTTGCAGTAAAAGAAACGAAGGAAAATTGATTTGTATTCCTTTAATTTCAGTTACAATTGGATTTCCTGATTACAAAAGAGAAGAGAATGAATTTGATTCTCCCCTTTGTTTAATTCTGGGTTCTTCACGGTGACGATGAGATGCCTCCCTCGATTGCTCGCGTCGAGTTTGCTTCTCGTTGACGATCCGACGTCTTGTTTCACTGGAACATGATCTTCTCCTCACGATTTGACGTTGTGGAGAACTTGCGTGGCAAGTTTGAAACTCTGGACGAGTTGATAACTCTGAATGAATTGGAAACTCTTGAAAAAGAGTTGATTTGAACCGAGAATCGGTTCTCAAGCCAAGGATGAAGAAGCTCTTGTTGCAGATCTCCCAAGCTCCAGAAATGCTCTAAGGATCCTGTTGACGAGTTCAAACGCAGTGTTTGGAAGCTCAGACGCAGCAATTTGGAAGCTGCGTTGGCATCTTGTTGAAAGCTGCGTTTGACAGCTTGGGAGCTGCGTTTGGCGGCAGGTGAAAGCTGCGTTGATAGCTTTCGGAGACTGCGTTTGTGGCCGAACATGAACTGCGTTTGCAGCTTTTGGAGCTGCGTTTGCAGCTTTTGGAGCTGCGTTTGCAGCTTTTAGAGCTGCGTTTGAGCTGTGCTTGGAGCTGCGTTGAGCTGCGTTCGTGGCTATGAACGCGATGCGTCTTGATGCTGGTGTGCGGGGAGGACTTCCACAGTTTGATTTGAAGAGACCGTCGATTTGTAGTCTCTTTCTGTCGAAGCGTTGCGAAGATCGTCATTTTGTAATCTTTGCTTTAGCTCTCTGATATATGAGAGTCGTCAGATTGTAACTCTCGATGTTGATTGTGAAGGCTGTTGAACTAGAGCTCTCATCGGTTGTCGTGAAGGTCGTCAGATTGTAACCTTTAGCGATCTACGTGAAAGTCTTCAAATTGTAACCTTCTGAAAGTCGTCAGAGTGTAACTTCCATCATCGGTGTTTGATGGAGATCAGCTATCTATTGTGATTTTTAGATAGCCTACAGGGATTCCAGCTGAGGTGACACAGTTAAGGGATCAATTTGTTTTGGATGCAGATGATGAGTTGGGTTTTGATTCGAATGCAGCTGACAGACATAGTTTGGATATGGCTATTGGTTCACCTCGGGTGGAGGTGTTTGAGGCCATTGGAGGGCAGAGTTGATGATATTGGAGAAGGGTTGCGAACTCTTCTATTGGTTTGAGGTCGTTCGCGGCCAGTTGGGTGAACTACGTTCGGCTTGATTCCTTGGGCAAGAGGATACGTAGGCAGTCTTTATGATGCAGCCGGGTTGGATTTTGATGGGGGTGAGATCGATTTGGTGATTTGATACCGACATTTGGAGAGTGTTAGCACTCTCATTTGGATTCTCGACTTGTTATGGATTGAGTCCTTTGTCGTGAATTGTTTCACTTCGTACTGGACACAACAAGTGAGATATTTGGTTTGGTTGGTGTCGACTCAGTTTTGGGAAAACTTCACCGAGGTGGAGAATTGTGAACACGTGAAATGCTAGTGGGGGCCACAAAACACAAACAGCGTGAAATGATCACATTGCTGCGTGAGGAAAGCCACGTGAAGAGATGTTGACGCGTGAAAAGGAGATTTCATGAAATCGGGTCGGGTTAGTTGTATGTTTGGCCTGGTTCTTTAGAAGGTTGCAGCTATTTATATCTTGGCTTCGTAACCTAGGTAGGCGTGCGAAGGAGGGGAGTTTAGTCGGCTTTTTTCTTTTTCTTTGGCGGCTGCGCAGGTGCAATTGAGGCGGCTGCAGAGCTAAGGCAAAGGGGAGAGAGAGAAAAAAGGTGGTTGTGGATTTTTTCTTGGGCTTCGTGCAGAGGAGAAAAATCCTATTTGGTGGCTGTTTTGTGAGAGATTAGAGAGTTAGTTTGAGGGTTTAGTTTGAGAGATTGCGTAAAATTGGTTGTTTGAGTTTGTGGCCATTGTAATAGTTTTTAGGATCCCTCGACGCGCAGTCCTAGAGCTGACGAGAGGAAGAGCTAATATCCCACTTTGATGAGATATTAGGCTTCAGATTCTTGTTCCCTTTGAGAAACAAGAATTCTTATCGATCTTTCTCTCTTATTGTGTACCAGAAACTCTGCCGAAATTTTCGCTGCGCACAACAGTTGAATCCCAGTTAGGTGAACAAAGAAAAAGAGGACGCTTTGACCAGTATTCTTTCACTTTATTATATATGAGAGAATATTCTTATGTGATTGCCCATTAATCGCTTTTATAAAACTGCTATGAATTTTGCAGTGGT